TATAAAAAATGTAAAACATAATTTTTCCTTTTTTTTTTTTGTAATTTAGAATAAAGATTTTTTTTCAAATTTTTTTGGAACTTTTTATTTGATAATTTTTGGTCGCGTCACTAAAATGTTGTTACAATTAATTTTTACTTTTATTAAGCAACAAAGACACTTATTTCACCTGCTGAATGCCATTTTACATTTCATTTTTCCATTAAGAAGAAAATTTATGAAAAATTTTCCTGATGCTTTTTTGAAATTTTCAAATTTTTTTTTCAATTTTTCGAAATTAAATGTTTTATGTTACAAAAATTTAAGGCAAAAATTTTAAATTTTTTTGCAATTTAGAATAAAAGAATTTTTTTCGTTTTTTTAACTATTTTATTTGATTACTTTTTGATTTTTCTGTGATCAACTTTAACTGTTATTAACCGACCATGCCATTTTATATTTCATACTTCCATTAAGAAGAAAATTTATGAAAATATGTTTTGAAATGAAATGCTTCTAGGTTATGTGACGTCACTAAAGTGCTTTGACGATTGATTTTAACTGTTATTAAGCGACAAAGCGACTTATTTCGCTTAAAAAGTGATTAAATTTCACTTCATACATCATTTTTTTTTTAATATTTTTTTTGAATTCTAAATTTTTTTAATATTACTAAAGTTTTTGTTTATGTGTTTTGACTGCACCGTTAGAAAAATAATGTGAGGGACTGTTAAATGCCTTTAACTAGGTTATGTGACTTCACTAAAGTGCCATTTCTAACGATTTGAACTACCACTAAGTGCTAAGTACCTTATTTCACCTTGAAAGGGAAAGGATACAGTTTCCTAATAAAACTAAAGTGTATGCAAAGTTTTTAATTTGTTTGGCACGGTTTATTATTATTATTATTATAATTGCTTTTTAATGATATTTTGAAAATATGTATTTTTTATTGAAAAACCAAATCAAAAAATTTACTGAATTTTTTTTATTTTTTGTTCAATTAAGATTTTATTTTTTTCTTAATTATAAAATTTACATTTTTTTCGAAATTCTCAATGTTTTAAATAAGTTTTGAAAGAATTTATAATTAAAATTTATTTTAATTTTTTTTACTTTTTATTTTTTGATAATATTTAGAAATTGTTTTCGATATTATTTTTCAAAGCAGGAACGTATAAAAATTTTTAATTTAATTATTTTTTATTTTTATTTTTTTTTTTTATAATTTTTGGATGAAATTCAATATTTTTATTAAGTAGATAAATATTAAAGATTGATTGAAGGTTAATTTCTTTTAATTATATAGATTATTTTTAGTTTTATTGTTGGTAATAAACAGACTAACGCATCCTCGAAAGAAGATATGTATGTATGTATGTATGTATGAATGTATGTATACATATATCATATAAATAGTAAATATTTACATATAGTACATTTCTTGTTGCATTCATGCGCTAAAATATATGCATTGACGTTTAATTGTAATTTGCATAAGATATTACAAACACATATACATATATCTAGCACATCTGTGAGGAGGTCATTTCAATGTGAATTTTATAATTTTCTGACATTTCATCTCTTTCCACAAATCACCCACTGCCGTCGCTTAATTTCACATGGAGATGTAAATATTTGCATACACCTATCCAGATATAGATATAGCGCAAGTATCATACATACATACCTACATACATACATACTAAAGTATTTCTCAGTGCATTTCTGTCATTTGTGGTCGCAATTGATACTGCAGCTGTAAAAAAAATTATTAAAATAGACAGTAATTGCATAAAGTTCTCGATTACCGCATACCCTGTATGTTTTATGCATTGAAATTTGAATTTTGTAACTAGTTCCAAACTAGTAGAAAAGCGTTCACTTGGCTTGTAAGTGCTGAAAATTATATATGTACATATACACAGTTTTTTATCGTAGAAATTAAATAAATATTAATTACTTACGCAATGTCGGTGAATATCTTGCTCATTGGGCAGAAAATGCCATAAAGATAGTACTTTTATGGGCATTTGGTAACAAGTTATTTTTAAAAATATACAACTACATATATACGTCCTTTAATTTTAGTTTTTAAACATGAATAGTTGAAGTGGTTGCCGGTAATCAGCTCGCTTTAGTCGCCTCTAGAGATTTCAACTTTTCCCAATTTTATCCGATTTTTTTTAATTCATAATTTTTTTTTTTTTAAACTTCGCTCTCACTGCCTCTCATCAGACTTGGGTATGCGAGCTTTAAAATATGTAGGTAAAACACTAATGATGTATGTATTTATGTATGTAGTAAGCTTAGTTGAGTACAAATAACAACGGTGCTTCGTAGCGTTAAATTTAATGTTAATAAAAAAGAGCCGATTTGGTGGAAACATTTGGAAATGTTAAAGCAGTTTCAAATAAATTTTATTTCGTTTATTAACGGAAATGATGTCGTTAATATCAAATCGTTAACCGAAAATGTTAAATAGCTAACAGCTACTGTTAAATCGTTAACAGAAAATATTATATCGTTTACAGATAATGTTAATTCGTTTACATGTATATTAATTCGTTTACAAATAAAGGTAAATCGTTAACAGATCATGCTAAATAGTTAACAGAGCATATTAATCATTGATAGATCATGTTAAATCGTTAACAGATAATTTCATATATACAGAAAATGTTTTATCGTTAACAGAAAATGTTAAATCGTTAAAAGAAAGTGTTAAATCGATAACAGAAAATTTTAAACTGTTAACAGAAAATGTTAAATCGTTAACAGAAAATGTTAAATCGTTAACATAAAATGTTAAATCGTTAACTAAAAATATTAAGTCATTAACAGAAAATGTTAAATCGTTAACAGAAAATTTTAAATCGTTGACAGAAAATGTTAAATCGTTAACAGAAAATTTTAAATCGTTGACAGAAAATGTTAAATCGTTAACAGAAAATCTTAAATCGTTAACAGAAAATATTAAATCGTTAACTGAAAATGTTAAATCGTTAACAGAAAATGTTAAATCGTTAACTGAAAATATAAATCGTTAACGGAAAATGTTGAATCGTTAACAGAAAATTTTAAATCGTTAACAGAAAATGTTAAATCGTTAACAGAAAATGTTAAATCGTTAACTGAAAATGTTAAATCGTTAACAGGTAATGTTAACTCGCTAACATTGAAGTGTGCTGTTAATATCATGGCAAGCAGCGACAATTTGAAATTAACAGTAAGATTGTTCGATTTCAACGTTAACAATTTCATTGCGCAGACAAGAAAAAATAATTTTGGTAATTTTATTTTTTATATTAACAAATCGAAACTTGAAAAGCTCAATAAATAAATCAATATATTTTATTGATAAGAATTTTATAACAAATAAAACACTTCATTTGAGTAAAAGTTGTTATTTCTGCTAAATTTATTAATAAATTAATTATAAAAATTAAAAAAAAATCTAGTTGTTTATCACATCAATATTTGATAATCAAAGTCCAACCTATTATACATCCATACATACATATACACCGACCAACCTGCGCAGATAATAAATTTAATATTATAACAAATTAAGTGCCTTGTGCACACTTTTACTTTCTCGTTAAAAATACAAAAACAAAAATACATATTTTTTTAAATCTTTTTTGATATACAAAAATTGTGTTTATTTTATTTAATTTTTTTTATTTGGCCTCCCCTGAAGTAGTTATATTTTTATCCATGCACGTCCATGAGATTTCAACTTACTCCTCCAAATTTTTTAACATAAAACTTTTGAAATTTTTTTCGATTTTTTTTTTAATTCATAAATCTTTTAAATGAAAAAAAAACATTTGGAAATGTTAAAGCAGTTTCAAAATAAATTTTATTTCGTTTTTAACGGTAATGATGTAGTTAATGTCAAATCGTTAACAGATAATGTTAAATAGCTAACAGCTACTGTTAAATCGTTAACAGAAAATGTTTAATCGTTAACAGAAAATGTTTAATCGTTAACAGAAAATGATAAATCGTTAACAGTTAACAGAAAATGTTTAATCGTTAACAGAAAATGTTTAATCGTTAACAGAAAATGATAAATCGTTAACATAAAATGTTAAATCGTTAACTGAAAATGTTAAATCGTTAACAGAAAATGTTTAATCGTTAACAAAAAATGTTAAATCGTTAGCAGATAATGTTAAATCGTTAACAGAAAATGTTAAATCGTTAATCGTTAACAGAAAATGTTAAATCGTTAACAGAAAATGTTAAATCGTTAACAGAAAATGTTAAATCTTTAACAGAAAACGTTTTAAATCGTTAACATAAAATGTTAAATCGTTAACTAAAAATATTAAGTCGTTAACAGAAAATTTTAAATCGTTAACAGAAAATGTTAAATCGTTAGCAGAAAATCTTAAATCGTTTAGGCCGGATATTGTTTTCCGCACAGTTTTCAGCTGAGCTGCAAATTGCAGTAAGCCTAAACTCCCTTGACCAAAATGTAACCTTAGAAGGTCAAAGGAAATGTACTTTCTTCAAAGAGAAGACTGCTTAATAGTATGACTTTCTAAAACTCTCAGGGTCTCTTTTAGGGAGTGCCGAGAAACTACTCAAATGTACATTTTTTTAGATGTTCGGATGTTGGTCTGGCGGGATTCGAAGCCATTTAGAAAATAGCATAACCTCACTTATTCATTTCATAACCTCATATTTAATTTTAATTGGTATTCAATGAAAATAAAAGATTTAAGCGACAAACTTCACCTATTTTGGAGACGCTTTTAATGTCCGTATGGATTTTGCAACTGACATAAAATATTGTCATTATCAGAGACACAGAAGGCATGGCCACCATACTTATCTATATATACTTTAAGAATACCTACAAGCCTAATATTTAAGGCTTAATTTTTATCAATTTTTTTTAAAAAATGTTAAAATTTTTTTTTTTAAATTCTTTTAGTAAAAAACCAAAATTCTTCATAAACGAGGAGAAACTAATTGTTGTATTTGTCTTTTATTTATATTTTCAGGGCGTAAAGAAACCTTTCGATCAGGTAATTCGGGCCAACATTGGTGATTGTCATGCTATGGGACAGAAGCCTATTACGTTCCTGAGACAGGTAAGAAAAATGGAAAAAATAAAATACCAAATCTTTAAAACCCTCAGCCCCTTCTTCAAAAGAAATGAAAATTATCCTAGAGTAATTCTTTCTATCCGTATACTCCTTAATCTCCAAACAGCTCTTGGCGCTAACGATGGATACTACACTATTCGACTCACCCGATTACCCCGAGGATGTAAAGAAGCGCGCACGCATCATCTTGGACGGTTGCCAAGGTCAATCAGTCGGCTCCTATACCGACTCGGCGGGCATCGAAGTCATTCGCCGTCAAGTGGCTGATTTCATTGCGAAGCGTGATGGTGCACCATGCAATTATGAAGATATTTACCTAACTGGTGGCGCCTCACCGGGCATCAAGAGCATATTGTCGCTTGTACGGTGAGTGGTTGCTACATTTCTATGCGTAATTTTATAATTCAATGTTTGTTGTTTTACAGCGCCAAGGTCAATGGCAAGCGTCCCGGTGTAATGGTGCCCATACCACAATATCCACTCTACTCTGCAACGATTTCGGAGTATGCCATGAATCGTGTTGGCTATTATTTGAATGAGGATAAAAACTGGAGTTTGGAAATACCCGAACTGGAGCGTGCTTTCAACGAATCACGCAAAACTACCGAACCACGCGCTTTGGTTGTTATCAATCCCGGCAATCCCACCGGTCAGGTGTTGACACGTGAGAATATCGTTGATGTTATCAAATTCGCACATAAACACAAGCTGCTGCTGTTGGCCGATGAAGTGTATCAGGCGAACATTTACGCGCCAAATTCGAAATTCTATTCCTTCAAGAGTGTGGCGTATGAAATGGGCTCGCCGTATAGGGAAATGGAGTTGTGCAGCTTTATGTCCACATCGAAGGGTTACCTCGGTGAATGTGGCATACGTGGTGGTTATATGGAGGTCATCAATATGTGTCCACAAGTAAAGGCAATGCTGACCAAGTCCATAACTGCTTCACTCTGCAGCACCACTGCCGGTCAGGTGGCTGTGAGCGCATTGGTGGGTTCGATGTTTGAGTTTTATTTTTATTTCTTACTAATTTTATTTTTTTTTTTTGCATGCTTAGGTTTATCCACCCGAGAAGGGTGAGCCTTCATATGAGCAATATATTGCTGAGAAGGCTGCTGTTTTGGATGCGCTCAAGGAACGCGCTGAACTGGTATATAAGACATTCAATAGCTTTGAGGGTTTCAAGGTGAATGTGGTGCAAGGCGCTATGTATGCTTTCCCACAAATCATTATACCACCAAAGGCTATTGCGGCAGCTAAGGCGAAGAATATGGCGCCGGACACTTTCTATGCATTTGAATTGCTGGAATCCACTGGTTAGTGTATGAAGTTTAAAATCTAATTACTTTTTTTTTTGTTAAATTATAAAATTATATTTTTTTTACAATAATTTTCCAGGCATTTGCATTGTCTCCGGCAGCGGTTTCGGCCAAAGGGAGGGCACATATCATTTCCGTACAACGATTCTGCCTCAAACTGACCAGCTGAAAATTATGTTGGACAAATTCCAAACCTTCCATGCTGAATTCATGAAGAAATACAAGTAAATTGTATACGTGTATAGTGAGGCTATGGAAAAACGATACCAAGTGATAAACGAAATGCATATGTTTAAGATGCAGCATGAAAAAATTTTGAAAAAAAGATACTGGTTGCAGCTGTGTGTTTTTTGAACGTTTTGCGTTTGTTTTAGTATGTTATTCAATTTTTATATGTAAAGTAAATAATTAGTAAGGGCTTAGACTAAATTAAAGGCAGGAAAAAAAAAATTTGCTAAAAATATACAAATAATATTGAAACGTAAAAATCTAAAAAAATTTAAAAAAATATACTAATTAAAAGTACAGAAGACGGTGCATAAAAAATGTATTGATTTATAGAAATTGTTAATTTTTACATTGTTGTAGCTAAAGTTTGAATACAAAATAATTGGAAGACATAAAATTATACGTAAATGTATTGTAAATTGGCCAAATTTTAATTGATACAATAAATTGTAGGGAGTTTCATTTTCAAGTGGTAGCTTAAATAGCATTTAATATTTCTATATTATATAAATTGAAATCAAAAATATAACCTTTGTGTTAGCTACTATTCGATTATACAAGAGGAGCAGTTCAAAATGTTTACTAAAATAAAGTGCGAAAGTATTGTATTGAATAAAAAAATATTAAAAAAATTTTTTTTGCTGTTGTTGTTGTAATGGCAAAAGTATACCCCAAAGTGCTTTTGGGATAAAACTGGTAAAAAACTTATTTTTCGCACAATATTTCCATGCAATCATTACCCACTTCTAACAGATAAGACAAGAATTGGAGAACACCTACCAGCCCTCAGCCACATGTCGAATTATCCCACAGCGCTGTCTATTATACTTACACCATTAAAGACTACTCACTATTTCGCCCACTCTAGATCACAAAATAAAAACAACAACAATTTTTCTTAGAGCAAAAAATGTAATCTTTAATACAAACTTTAATAAATTAATATTGAATATTCTTCAACTGACAGAGACATGAAATTTGTAGGTTTTTAAGTTACGTACGTGCCTTCAGACAGCCTCAAGACGTTGACCATACAATGTGCACGATCATCGTTATAGCGTGATATTTATATATTTGTATATTTTTCATTTATTTATTTTTTATATTGTTATTTATTTAATAATTCGGATTTTTTTAATGCAAGTGTCAGAGCTTGCACTAACATTAACTAAGAAAAAAAAAATTACAAAGCAAGAATTAAATAATACATACATTGAAAATATGTCTTCATTGTAATCAACACTAATTAATACGTTTCTACGTATTATCCGAGTACGTACGCACACTCGCGCATACACACGCACCCACACTCTTTCTCCACACTATTCGAACGGAGTTAGAGCATTTCTATATAAATTACAATATCGGAGCAGGATTTCACTTAACACTAAAATAATAATGACTAAGCTACGCGCACGTTTCATATTTGCAAGTAAATTAGAATTATTTAATATAATAAATTGCTTAAAAGTAGTTAGTTAGCAGCAATAACTCAGGCTAATAGTACTGAGTATGTATTTATATGCAGTGGTGTGTAGTTTCACTAAATAATATTTAGTATTCCATAATGCTAAACAATTGCAATGAGAGAATAAAATTTTTTGAACTAAGTTTTTTCCATTTCAACTCTTTTTTTTTGTCACACCCATTGTTTTCTTATACATGAAAATTGCTTGATTTTCGAGTCTGACTGATTGTGAATAGCAGCTGTTGCGAATACAAGTGCATTTAGTTATATAGCGGTAGGAGATTAATCACTAGTCTTTAGTCGTTTCACTGGTCCTTCGCTACCTTGAGAGTTGGAGTCCTCAGAAAAAGGCATACTAGAGACAAATTCAGTGGCACCTTGTGAATCGCTGACCATGGAAAAACCTATGAAGTTAAGGAGAGAAAATATGTTTTATAACTAATTTAAGTATATATTAAAAAAAAGGGATGAAAAATTTTCAAATTTTAGCAGAATGTATAAATTCGAATGCAAACATTTGAACTTATCAGTGTGCGTGCTTCGACTCACAGGTGTTCGAATCTTCAGCAGTTAGACCGGTGTAGGGCGTGATTTGCGGTGGTGTTGGCGTGCCTTTTTGTGAATTCTCCTTATCACTTTTGTTAACACTGCTCACTTTCTTCTTTTCTGAATTCGATATAGGCACCCATTTATAGATCTTCATAGTAGTGTCACCAATTGTAACCCATTTCTTTTCCCTAAAATTTTAAAATTCAATTTAAATTATATATGGCACATTTTTTTTTAAAGTGGTGGCCATCTTACCAATGTCTCACTTTTTCTACTGCATTCATAACACGTTTGATATCATCTTTTGCTCGGCTACGAGTTTCTGCTCTAACACTACGTGACATTTTCAACTATTTTATACAGGATATAAGCTAATTTATTAAATTTTTGGTAATTAAATCGAAAAGTTATTCGAATTTTGCTGCTCAAAGTTGAACGATGTAAACAGAAAACGAAGATTCGTCGAAAATGGCCGCTAAATGCCGAATACAACTATATGACAGCTGACTGTGACATTAAGACGAGTACAGAGATAAGACATTGAATGAGAACATAGGAGCTTGCGAAGTCACAACCACTGCGATTAACATTATTTGCATAAAGCAAGGATTTTTTAATGGATAAAAGCTTAAGGTGAATTATAGAATGCTTCCTAGATGCTCCAAGATCCACGCATTTTTAATAATCTTGTCTTGCAATCGGAATAACATTAAATCTCTCTGCATGGTACTTAAAACAAAACAAAAAATCAATAAATTCAGCGAGTGTCAAATTTTAACGAAACAGTGTGATACCAAGCAAATAAAAGAAATTATTAACAATTGATAAAAGTTTTTATTTAATGTGATTAAAATTATTTTAATTTGTAAGTCTTTCGTATTTTGAATTTGTATATAATTAAAAAAAAAAAACATTTTCTGGCATTCAAACCTTTTCGAAAATTTCCGGTTGGTTTCCGGAATCGTTGAGGAGTTGACAGGCTTTCACCAGAAAAAATTCTTGCTGTTCTGGCGTGAAGACTCTTACAGCTCATTGCTCCATTGTGTTGTGTGTTAAAGCTAAATTCTATTTGTTTAAATAAAAATAACTCAATTACTGGAAATTCTATTAAATTCGTAGAATGCTAATGTTGTTTGTCATTTTCCTCATTAACTAAGTTATATGCTAGAGATTGTGCTTTCTCACGACACCTTACATATTCTTGGTCCTATGCGTGATTCCAGGACCTATGCATGATACTAAAGGTGACAGATAAAATTTTGGCATCGCTTTGTGTGTATCTTCTTCAGAAGCTGATTTTAATTTTAATTTATTTGTTACTACAGATTCTAGTTAAACTAAATAGTTTTAAGCTCTGCCCATTAATTATTTCATTTATCCGTTGTTTAAATTCTGAAAGAAAATGTATGAAGAGTAATACATTTGGTTAGAGAAATCGTCTCAATAATGGTGTTATGAACACCGCTATCATGGCATTTCTTTTGGGCTCATTCCAATTGACAATTTGTCGCTACATCGTAATGCATCCCTGACTAGCCGGTGTGGCAAATGCAAACTAAATTTATAGAAATTGTACGAAAACGAGCGATCGAGCGAATGCGTGTGAACACGGAGCGATGTGAAAATTCTTCAATTTAATAAATAAATTGTACGAAAAACGTGAATTTTTTTATAAATCATTTATTTCGCCTGAAGTGAGTGTAGTATCTATAAAATATTTTCAAGATAATTTGTGCATTTCACCCTGGAGTGCGGGTGCAATTGTGAGCTTTGAAAAAATAGTGCCGCTGTCAATATCAAAGTTTAACAATATCACTGTGGAAAACTCGCTACTGGTTGACTGGCTGGCTGTCTAACTGGCCGAGTGACGTATAGTACGTGAAGAAAACTCGTCCGTGGTCATACTCAAGGAGAAATAGCCAGCAATCCAGTAATGTGAAATTTCGAAAAAAAAATGTTCATAAATACCATTTTATAATTTTATATGTATATCAACTACTGCCAGCCAATTTTGTCGATTTAAGCATAGAGCTAGACAATGGAAGGCGTAGACGTGTGCTAAACTAGTGGGAAAATTCAATAGGCAATAGGAAAAAATGGCATTTGGAAGAAGCGTATTATTAGCCATGAAACGCAAGGGCGTTGAGCGGCAATGGCAAAATGCATGAAAGTATAATAAAAAATGTGTAGTTAAACCGAAAGTGGTGGTATAGTGTAAAATTGAAAAAGCTGTAATGAAAATTTTTAAATAAAAGCTTTAAAGTTATATACAAGAAAACGTTCACAAGACGTCAGCCAAAATAAAAAAGTAAATAAAAAACATAAAGCAAAGTAAAAACCCCGACAACCAGCGATTGGTGTCCGACAATTGTTAAACGGCCGTGACGGTACGCGTGGTGTGCATAAAATTGCAAGCGGCGGGGTGACGGTGACGGTGAAGTGTACATTATCTGCAATACTGTGCGATGCGATTGAAGGTGAATGAGATGGGTTTTGTGTGTAAATAAAAGTGTACAATAGTGTACAACTACGTAACCACATCAATGCAATTTCTTCTATTTCATCGAAAAAGTAAACAAATTACAAAATTCGTCAAAAAAATAATCGACTAATTGAGATGTAGTAGTTCTACGTACAAATGCATATGCAATTCATTATCATTACTACTGACCCGACTCTATGTCTCATATACATATGTATCTGCTCACTTCTATGGCAAAAATTGTAAATAACTAACTACTACCATCACATATAAAGTACTTTGTTAAGTGGCCCATCATACACTTGGTTGCTGCCATTTAATTAGATATCTTTATACAATTTTGTGCTTCCTCATATTCTGCTATTTTGGACTGTCGCTCTACTATCAACAGCTGTTACCTCATATCTTGTTTATATATACAATTTAATACGGTTGTCTAGAGCAATTGAAAAAAAAGTAATTAAGTAAAGCGTGAGGAAGTTTTAATAATTTGACTAGATTGGTAACAGTATGCCCAAATGCGACATGAAGACTCGCTACATTCCTGCTACATTTGCCTGGATTCTACTGTTATCCACAACGTTCCTGTTCTTCTTCTATCCGTAAGTAACAAATGCTAATTTTATCTCTATTATTTCATTATTGTTTTTATAAAACACATATATTGGGGATTTTGTATGTGTTTTAAATACACACATATAAATACTGTACTTTTTGTGTATATATACATACTTATAAATGTATAAGTTTTATGATCATCTGTAAATGGTTATTTAAACCATTTTTACTATTGAATTAATGAGCCAACATTTGTTTTTCATGAATTAAATATTCTGAAATGAAAAACTGCATTTAAAAGTTTTTTTCTATGCCCATAGTCTTCATAACCTGGTGTTTCGGTGGCTAAAAGATCTATAAAAATTAAAATAAAGTTAAAACGATAAAAATTGAACTAATAAAAATATTATAAAAAAACTTTAAAAAAATATATGTATATGTATATAATAAAATACATTAAAATAAAGAAAAATGAAATAAAAGATGAAATAAAACAAAATAAAATCAAAAGGTAAATAAAAAAATAAAGTAAATAAAATTAAAGAAAGAAATAAAATACTAATTTAAGAAAATACTAAATTAAAAAATAGTATAAAAATTAAAAATACCGAAATAAAAAAAATAGAATAATAAATAAAAATAAAAAAAAAATAAACAAAAAAATAAACAAAAAAAATAAATAAAATTAAAAATATAAACTAAAAAAAAAAATAAAATAAAAAAATATAAACTAAAAAAAAAGAAAATAAAAAAATATAAACTAAAAAAAAAAAAATGAAAAAATATAAACTAAAAAAAAATTAAATAAAAAAATATAAACTAAAAAAAAATTAAATAAAAAAATATAAAAAAATAAAAAATAAAAAAATATAAAAAAAAATCAAATAAAAAATTAAAAAAATAATAAATTAAAAAAATAAAGTTACACAAAATAAAAATAAATAAAATTGTAAAATAAAAAAATAACAAAATAAAAAGTAACATAAAATAAAATTATAACAAAATAAAAACATAACATAAAATAAAAACATAACATATAATAAAAAAAAAAAACATAAAATAAAATAACACAAAATGAAAATAAATAAAATTGTAAAGAACATAAAAAAGTCCGTACAAGAACAGGCGCTGAAGCAAAATTCTCAGAAAACCGGTTTGACAATATTTTTGCCGTTATACACATACATTATATACCCAAATGTTTTAAAATTATTTCCATACAATGAAAATTTTAATTCAAATTTTATTGTAATCCAATTAAAAAATTTGTGACTGTGCAAAGAATGTTAAATGAGTATTAAAAAAATTTAAAAAGTAATTTTTAAGCCTTTTTTTTTTAAATATTTTTTATTAATTAACTTTTGTGTTTACTTAATTTAAGCCAAATTTAATAAATATTTACGCATGTATGTACAAATAAATTTATACAAACATACAATACAACAATTATATATTTATATGGTAAAAAATTTGGAAAATATGTATGTAGTATAACTAATTAAGTTAGGTAAACAAATAAAAAAAAGCCGTGAATTATTACTAATGGTCGGGCGCCAGACTGGCGAATCCGTAAAATAAAATGTCTACATTCGTGACGGCATGCATAAATACGTATCTACATATGTACAAACGTTCAAACATATATATGTAAGCACAAATTAAAAAAAAAAGTATTTTTATTGCGTAAATATTTGCTTTACTTACTTTCTTTTCTACTTCAAATGCTCGCTAGTAGACGCTACAAAGCAAGAAGCCATTACCATACGTGTATGCATGCAAACATAAGTAAATAAAGTCATGCAAATATATGTGCATATATATACCTGTATATGTATGTGTACTACATTTTATGTACCTATATATGTACATAAGCGAATTATAGTAAATATTTACAACTCGTTTTGTAGACATTAAAAACCAAATTTGATTTGCCAAAGTTTTCCTATGTCTTCTCATCATTATCAGCTTAAAAAACAATAATAAAAAAATAAAAAATAAATAGAAAAGCACTAATTTGTCTACTTTTCTTTTATCCATTGTCTACGCTTGATTTTGCTAAATGTCTCGTTATTTTGGCGCAGCCAACTTGTCGACGTTGCAATCATCAATCGCGATGACGGTTGAAGAAGAAAGAGGAAAATTTGTGTAAAACAAACTGCCAATGCCCGCTGCACTTAAAATGGTATGAATGGTGGCAAGACGTTTGTTAATGGCATAAAATCTTTAGTAGTAGTTGTACTTGCTGTATATGTACATATGTATGTACAAATGTAGTAAAAAAAAAAGTCAAATATATCATTAAGTGCAGTACGCCCTTTCTGCATTCACACTTTTACATACTCCTTAACATCTCATCTCATCTACCACAAGTAAATCGTAATAGTAATCGGCTACGTCTGCGCATTCTGGCATGCAATGATATTTTGGAGAGCCAACATGTCTGCCTCCTTAAATACAATTGTATATACGTATGCACATATATAATATATGTATGTATGTACCTTAAAAGGCAAAGGCTAGGTTGGGTATCTTAGTTCGGCATCCGGCTACTGGGTAGCCATATGTGGTGGTATGTTGTAGAAAAGAATGATGATGAATAATGTGCGGTAGATATATGTATACGTGTATGTATAGCGAAAAGATATGCTTGGCAAAATGGGTATTTTGTTATATGCAATCAAATGAAAATTGCAAAGCTTCTAATAAATGTGCATAACGCTCACATATAGATATATACGTACATAAATAATATAGTTTTCTGCACAGATTTTGTAAAGTTGCATATATGCATGTACACATGCAAATGCTTGTCCCATAAATCTTACTTTGGGTATTTTCAAAAAGTGCCTGTGCATGGAAATACAATAGCCAGTGAAGTTGTTACTGGCTCTTACTTAACGGTATCATATTTTCTTCACTGCAGTGCTCATAACTTTTCAATTTATATTGTTAAATAATTGATAAAAATATTTATAGATTTTATTAACTTTCAATAAGGATCCCAAATATAATACTAAGAATTGATAATCAATAAGGTTTACATATTTATTATATTTCAAAATATAGCTTGGGGCCTTCAAAGGCCGATGGTAAGATAACAAAAAATAAAATAAAATAAAACAAAATAAAATAAAAATTTAGTAAACAAAATAAAAAATTTAATAAATAAAAAAACAATGTAAAATAAATTAGAGTAAAAAAAAAAAATAATTAAATCAATTGAATGTAATAAAATAAATAAAAATAGAATTTAATTAAGAAATAAAAATAATAAAAATTAAATTGAATACATTAAAATAAAGTAAGCATAATAGAATTAAAAAAAAAAATAAACAAGATAAGAAAAAAATTACATTTTACTACATATATGTACATATATATATATTACATAAAACTAATCAAATAAAAAAAATATTATATAGTAAGATTATAAATAAAACAAAATAATAATAAAATAATAATAATAATAATTATAATAATAATAATAATAATAATAATAATAATAATAATAATAATAATAATAATAATAATAATAATAATAATAATAATAATAATAATAGTAATAACATAAAATAGTAATAATAAAAATAAAGTTAAGCAAATAATGAAATTTATCAAAATAAAGCAAATAAGTAAAATAAATAAAAATAAAATAAATTAAGTAAATGAAAAAATACAAATTAAATAACTGATAAAAAAGATAAAGAAGGCAGGTAAATTGAATAATAATAATGAAATATTCCGTGCTTGGAAGTGATTGCCTGCCTATTCCATCAGAAAGGTTTCACATCTGACAACAATGATTTTGGCTTGTTTGTTTTTTTGCCTCCTCGAAAATGTCCGGATGTATATTAAATAAACAAAAATTGTGTACAGCTAAAGCCCATCGAATGCTTTTGGAAGTTTGTGGGGAATTTGCGCCAAAGCTTCAAAAGTATTTGAATAGAAAACAAAAGACCAAAATAGTTTGTAAGTCTAATAAAAAAAAAGAAAGGTAATCGAATTTAAAATATGAGATAGTAATAAAAATAAAAATAATAATATTAAAAATAATAAAATTAAAAAAAAAATAAAATTAAAAATATAATACAAAATATGAAAAAATCATAAAAAATATGAAAAAAAATTGAAAGAAAGTAAAAAAATAATAAAAATAATGAAAGAATGAAAAATATATAAAAGGTAATAAAGAAATGAAAAAATTATAAAAAAATAATAAAAAATGAAAAAATAATAAAAAATGAAAAAAATAATAAAAAATGAAAAAAATAATAAAAAATTAAGGAAATAAAAAGGAAATAAAATAATTAAACAAAGATAATAAAATAATTGTAATAAAATTAAAAAAATTTAAAAATTTGAAATAAGTAAAAAAAAAATAAAAAAATTAAAAAGAAAATTTAAAAAAAAAAAAACAAATTTTTAAAAATAAAAAAAATAAAAAAAAAATTTTAAAAAATTAATTACAATGAAAATGAAATTAACAAACACTAAGTAAATAAAAAAAAGTAAACAAATAAACAAAATATAAAAATTTAAAAAAAAAATACAAAAATGTAAAAAAATATATAAAAATATAAAAAATAAAAATAAAAAAATAAAAATAAAACCAATAAAAGTAAAAATAATTAAATAAATAAAAATTAATTAAATAAAAATGATATAAATAAAATAATAAAATTAATGATAAAAATAAGAAAGCAAATTTAGTAAAATTAAATTACATTAAATGAAATAAATTGAATTAAATTTAAATATATTATTTTAATTGATGTCGGACTTTACAAAATCGAATTCCATGTGGTCAAAAGACTTTCAAAAATTTGCATAATATAGGTACAACATATACATAATAATTTTTATAAAGAATTCTACTTCAGTACCTTGATAATTTATCAATCTCTATGTATGAATGCATAAATTTTTAGTTATATTAATGTGCTTATTATTAATGCACTGTACCGTTATAAATAATACAGTTATTTTATTTAGTTTATCTCGAGGCGCTAGAGACAGTGCAGTAAAGTCATTATCATGACTTGCG